TTTATCAGAGGCTAAGATTGCAACCCCTGGTTTTTTTGGCTCTCCGTTTGCTTAGTAAATATTCCTCCATCCCTTTATTTTGAGCTCATGTGTGTCTTTGCATGTGAGATAAAAGTCTCCTGAATATAGCACAGCAGTGGATCTTGACTCTTTATACAATTTGCCAGTCTGTATCTTTTAATTGGGGCATTTAGCCCATTTACATTTAAGGTTAATATTGTTATGTGTAAATTTGATCCTGCCATTATGATGCTAGCTGGTTATTTTGTTGGATACTGTGTTTTTATATGCTGTATTATAATTTTTATTTATCTTAAGCTTTTCTAATTTCCCTTGGTTTTGTTTTGTTTTTGTTTTTGTTTTGTTTTTTTGAGATGGAGTCTTACTCTGTTCCCCAGGTTGGAGTGCAATGACATGATCTCAGTTCACTGCAACCTCCACCTCCTGGGTTCAAGTGATTCTCCTGCCTCAACCGTTCCGGTAGCTGGGATTACAGGCACCAGCCATCATGCCTGGTTAATTTTTGTATTTTTAGTACAGACTGGTTTCACCATGTTGGGCAGGCAGGTCTTGAACTCCTGACCTCAAGTGATCCACTCACCTCCGCCTCCCAAAGTACTGGGATTACAGCAATGAGCCACAGTGTCCAACCTCTAATTAGAAATCCCTTATGATTTCTTCTTTGACCCATTTGTTCAAGAGTTTGTTATTCAATTTTCACATATTTGTAAAATTTTCTGTTTTCTGTTATTGATTTCTAATTCTATTTTATTGTGCCCAGAAAAAAAATAATTGAAATAATTTCTATCTTCTTAAATTTGTTGAGACTTGTTTTGTGGCTTAACATGTGTTCTATTCTGGAGAATGTTCTGTGTGTGCTTGAGAAGAATGTGTTCTGCTCTCGTTGAGTGAAACATTGCCTCTATGTATGTTAGGTGTAATTGGTCTATAGTGTTCAAGTCTGGCTTCCTATTAATTTTCTGTCTGGTTATTTTATTCATGATTGAAAACTGAGTATTTAAATCAACTATTATTGTATTACTATCTGTTCTTTCAATTCTGTCAATGTTTGCTTCTTATCTTTGCACACTTTGTTGTTAGGTGAAAACATTTACAATTATTTCATCTTCCTGGTGAATCTACACTTTTGTCATTATATAATGTCCTTTTTATTTTTGCTGTGTCAACTTTTGACTTTAAATCTATTTTGTTTGATACAAGTATGGCCACTTCTGGTCTCCTTTGGTTACCATTTGCATTAAATGTATTTTCTAAACTTTTCACTTTCAGCCTACGTGTGCGCTATTATCTAAAGTGAATCTCTTGAAGACAACAGAGTTTGAAATCATTTTTTTATCCATTCAACCTCTGTATGTTTTTCAATTGAGTATTTTAATCAATTTAAATTTAAAGTAAATAATGATGGGAAAGGATTTATTATTGCCATTTTGTTAATTGTTTTATTCTGTCATGTATTTACTTTTATTCCTCTCTCTTCCTCTCTTGCTGCCTTTCTTTGTTCTTTTGTGGTGGCATTCTTGATTCCACTCTCAGTTTCCTTTGTGTATCTTCTATAGGTATTTTCTTTGTGGTTTCCATGTAAATTACATAAAAGTTCTTATAGTTCTAACAGCCTACTTTAAAGCGATAATTTATCTTCAGTAACATACAAAAACTCTACACCTTCACATCTCTGTCTCCTGGTATATGCTTCTGCAGATATTACATCTTTTTATGTGTTGTATCCATTTCCATAGTTTTATAGTTATTTTATGCTTTTATCTTTTAAATTCTATACCACCATTAAAAGTCATTTATATACCACAGTCACAATACTATAAGATTATGTATTTGTTTATAGATTTACCATGATGAGAGACCTTTTTATTTTCATATGCTTTAGTGTTGCTGTCTAGCATCCTTCAATTCAACTTGGAGAAATCCCTCTAACATTTCTTACAGGGCAGACTGGAAGTGATGAACAGCTTCAGCTTTTGTTTATTTGGAAAAGTTTTTATTTTGCTCTCATTTCTGAAGGGCAGTTTTACCTGATAGAGTATTTTTATTGGCACTTTTCTTCCTTTTGGTATTTTGGATATATTATGCTTCTCCTTTCTGGCCTCTTATGTTTCTGCTGAGCAATTTGCTGATAAGCTTGTGGGAGTTCCCTTGTATGTGACAGTCAACATTCTCTTGCCACTTTCAGGGTTATTTCTTCATTCTGGCTTTTGAGTGCTTGGTTATATGTATCTTGAAGCGAGTCTTTTTGGGTTATCCTATTTGAAGTTCATCAAACTTTCCACATTTGTTTTCTGGTTTTTTTTTGTTGTTGTTTCCTTCATAGTAGGATGTTTGTGTCCATCATTTTAAAAAATAAGCTTTCTACCCATTTCCCTCTTCTCATTCTGGGATTTTCATAATGTGTATATTGGTCAGCTTGTGTCTGTCTCATAAGGGTTTGCTGACTCTTTCTTCTGCTTGGTCAATTGTACTATTGAATTTCCCTAGTATATTTTTCTTTAATTCAGTTAATGTATTCTTCAGTATGACAGTTTGGTTCTTTTTTTATAGTTTCTCTTTGTTAATATTCTTGTTTGTTTCATGTGTGGGTTTCTTTTGCTATCATTAGTTTTCTGTCTGCTTTTTGCAGTGCATTGAACTTTTAAAAGAAAATTATTTTGAACTCTTTGTCAGGTAATTCAAATTCATAAATCTCTGTTTGTAGTCAGTTTTTGAATATTCAGGCTGGTTCTTTGATTGGGCCATGGTTCCCTATTTGTTTATATGCCTTATTTTTTGGTGGGAATTTTACATTCAGAAAAACAGCTTCCTTTCACAGTTATCTATGGACTGGCTTTGTACAGAAGCCCTTCCCCAGTTCTCTCAGCTAGAGATTCGCAGGGACTCTCAAATATTTGGGGAGACGCATCTTCTTTCAATGTATACGTGTAACTTCCCAGAGTGGTTTGCCACCTTTTATTTTTTATTTGTTTATTTATTTATTTATTTTATTTTCTTTCAGAAGCTTATAATCTCTTGTTCCCTCTGGCATTTTGGAAAGCTGTTGAGCTCTCTTTTAAACTCATCAGCTTCTAGGTAACCAAAGTATACCTGTTCTATTATAGCTTTTAGTCAGGTGAGATAGAAGGCAATTCCTTAGGCAATAAGTATCCCCAAAAAGCTAAAATATTGGCTACATATTTCACTATTCTCTTTCCTCCTGGAGGAGAAGCCAGGAATTGAACATTCTCTCCTAACTGTCCTGAGCTGTACTGGCTTCTGTCTGCAACACCGAAGGTTTTCTGGTGCTGCAATAAGCCACTGAACTCTCTCTGGTTCTCAGCAGCCTCAGGAACAGAGAGTATGATAGTTTCAACTCAGCACCCTGATTCTGGTGAGGCAGAGAGTCCAGTCCCTCAGGCAGCCCCTTTAAAGGCTAGAAAGTTGGACAAGTGTTCAGCTCTTACCCTTCCCTTCTGTTGGAGAAGTAGTGTGCTTGACTTTTATTCTCCATTGCATCATGCCACGCTAGTTTGGTGAAGAACTATTAGGAGTGAAATAAAATTACTTTTAAAGCCATTTCAGTGAATCTGTTTTAATATTTGAACATATCTTGGATATCACAACTTTTTATCTGATTTCTGGAATACTTCTAATGACTTTTTGGGCAGTTTATTGTTAAGTTAGTATCTCTATGAGAGAACGGAGTCTGAGGTTTCCCATTCTGGATCTTGCTCTATAGACAACATTTCAACAAGAAAAAAATAGTGATGCGAGAGAGGAGAGAGATGGAAGAGAGCTGGAAGTTATATACAGGAGGATTTTTAAAAATGTAGGAGATACTAGGACATATTGCATGCTGATGAGAATAAATTAATAGAGTCACAGACAGATGATGCTCTATGACAGAGCAGTAACGTTCAAACGTTCATGTGCATTGGGAACATATGGCAAGCTTGGGAACACACAGATTGCTGAACTTCACCCCAGAATTTCTGATTCTGGGGTTCTGGGAAGGGGATCCAGAACTGTTCTGCCTAACAGGTTCTCAGGTGATGCTGTTACAGCTGGTCCAGGGACCATACTCTGAGGGCTCCTACTCTAAAGAAGGAAGAAAATGATGTCTTTAAGAAAAAGAGAAAAAGATAGAGGCAGAGAATATGGGTTTGTCTTTCTTGGTTTTGTTCTCTCGTTGCTATACTGAGGGACAAGTCGCATAACCAACTTATGTGGTATATTTTGTCGATGGTTACAGAAACTGTAGATTTCGGACTAACAGAGAGAGTACTCATTTCAAACATTTTTCTCCATTGTCTCTCTATATATCTGTTCTTCTCTGATCTCTCTCCATGTTAGATATAGAACAAAAGGTCATATGTATATTTTATACCAACCAAGTTTACCTCGTCCATATAGAGATCTCCTTTCTTTGTCCAGAATTCCCACCTGTTTTTCACAACCTTTTCAGATGCCTGTAAGATTCTAATTTTCTCAGCAGGTAGCAATTTGGAGCAGGTGTAGTGATTTCTCTGACAAGAGTAGTGAGACTTGAAAGGAGCTCTGGGGCCATGGACCTCATCAGCTTGTCAATAAAGATTCCAGCATTGGCTACCTTTTAATATTTGCAGCAATTCACACATTGGGGAAACAAGGCGCCTGGTACACTCAGTGAAGTGCTAGAAGTCTCAGAAAACATGGCAATAGCCCAGGGGTTTTGACAGAATCTAAACATTGCCTTCTTGAGCTACCATAGGATAATTATGTTAGACACAAAAAATAAAAAAATAAAAATAAGCACAGTAAACCTGTGATGTGCAAAGAAAAATGTCAACATTTTCACACTTTAAAACTTATCTCATCAGGGAAAAGGTTTTTTTAGAAGAAAAATCAGCAACTTTTGGTTAAAAAAATAATGTGTCTCTATACAAGCTACATCTGTTCAGGCGTCTGTCTTCTCCTGTCAGATCTGCTTGAGTTGAAGTTCCCAATGTGTTAAAGTCAGATTCGAGTTCTCTCAGGGTCTGAGAGTATAGAATGTACTAAACACCCAACCAGAGTGAACTGAAGTGGAAATGAAAGAAAATCCATTTTGAAGACTTATGTCCCCTCCTTCTCTCCCTTCCTTTGATGTGAAGGAAAAAGCTCAGCTTCCAGGGTGGTGATAATGGGATATTTTTTCCAGTTAGATTCTTCATCATCTAACCCAACTGTGTCTTAATTCTCCTACTTTCTTAATTCTCCCTGATGTAGCTCAGAGCCCTAACTAACTAAATGGGCCCACACTGGGGAAGCCAGCACTAGAAAGAGAAAAAAAGCAAAATATTTCACATCGAAATAAAACAAACAACAAGACACGGGGTAGAGGTAAGTGGAAAGAAGTAAAAACCACAAAACCTTTTTAACAGTATATCTCGTTATGTCAGCTACACTCTAGAAAATTTATTTCAACTTTTTAAAGCAGAGACAGAATATAAATAATAATTGATTATTTTGTCAAAAGGCTTACTTATTATTCTTTTAATGAGTTTATGTGTGTTTTGCAGGCCAGTGCTTTACATGATATAACAGCTATTATTTTTGGTTATCATACATCATTGAACCTAAGACAATGTTGTTTGTAAGATTCACCACCATTTTATAGGTCATTAAGAAAATGGTAATGAATAATTTTAAGAGCTCATTTATTTTAAGATGCATCCCAGTTTCAGAGATGTTAAAATATAAAACATGTTTATCTCATAACTGATTGAAGAATGGATGTCTTCTATATATTGTGAAGAAATTCCCTGGGAACAACATTTGAAGTTTGTATAGATCTTTCTGTAGTTTCACACTCTATGGATGGCCTTTGGTTACAAAGTATATAAAATGGACTCCTGCATATGCCAGTGCATAAAGAACATTTATCTTTATCCAATTCACAAATTAGAGCTAGTAGGAATTATCTCCTGGCAGAAGAGCTAAACATACTAATTGGCTATCTTTACTTCTCTGATTTTTACCGTTAGATATCACAGGAAGATAAACAAGATGCATGACATTACCCCTTACACACACACACAAAGTGAATAGAAAATAAGCATTGTTGAATGCATCTATGCATGTAGTGGGATATTTGACTCAGAGTCATTTCTGTCTTGTCCTTGCTGCTAGGGGATAAAGGAAATGAACTTAACTGACCATCCCTATTCCATACCTGTGTAAAAAAGAGAAGACCTTGCACTGGAAGCTTCTTTGAATGGCAGGAAACAAAATAGAGGAAACCTCCTCTTGGTTCTCTATTGGGAAGCTTAGGTTCATCCAGGAATTAATTTGACATTTCTGGTAGTACTAGGGTTGTGCATTGAAAGGCTGTGGTATGCTGGGAAAAAAGCTGAATTGCTTGTATTTGTATCCATGCCCTTTGCATTATGATTCTGTATCGAGTTTCCACCTGTTGAATCTGGCCTGGCTGTGTGACTTGCTTTGACAAATAGTACACGGCAGAAGTGACAGTGAGCTAGTACTAAGCTTACCTTCAGAGAACTTACACATCACTGTTACTGTCACAGGAGTAAGCTCGGGATATTTTGTTGAAGAATGAGAGAACACATTCCACGTGGAAGAGACATAAGTCATTCTACTTGTTTACCTGAGGCTCTAAGGATGAGGCAAAGTTCTTTAAGATCAGAAAATTTCTTATTTGACCTGCAGCTGACCTCAAAAACATGAAAGAACCCAGCTGAACCCAGCCCAACTGGCCAACCCGTAGACACCTGTGCTAAATAAATGGTGGTTATTTTAAGACAATTACATTCTGGAGTGGTTTGTCATGTAGCAGTAACTAACTTAATACACGGTTGAAGAAAGAAATTCCCCTGACAATGAAAAGATTGAGTGTCCCTGCCGTTGGGAATATGAGCAAATAGCACTTTAGAATACTATTACCTCCTTGCACGTTCTCTTTCTGTGCAGAAGTTCTCATGAGCTGGACAGAGTATGGCTGAAAGCTTTTCCCCAGAAAACAAACCTTGGGAGGAGCAACAAAGGACTCTTGTAGCCGACTTGATGGGCAAGCTGATCAATGGCAGTACCAGGCACCTGTGACCTTCTTTGCACAGACATACTGAGAGCCAGAAGTGCCTGGGAATTAATGTTCACCAGGAGTTATCAGCAGCCAATGACTGGTGAGTATGAAAGCCTAGATCCTTTGTCTTAAGAAGGGAGAAAGACGAGGTGTAATTTATACTCTGGAGCTCCCTGCAGATCAGGCAGAGGTTGATGCCTCACCTGAAATTACCATCTGCCTGGTCTCCTCCCCTTCCTCGTCCTGCTTTTTCTTCTCTTACCAGTCTCTCCTTGAGCACATTCCTCATAAACAACTTAGGTTTGTCTCAGGATCCGTTTCAAGAGAACTCACCCTAAGACAGTTGATTTGGGGAGAAGAAAAGAAGCTGATGTGTATGTTAACCTAACGTTGCATGTGGCCCTATATATTGTGCATCAAATTAACCGTCAATAATACAGTTGTACTTCTTACCTAAGGTGTTTATTACCTGGGAACAAGCATAGGTGAGTAGAGCAACTTTTTTTGAAGCTAGAAATCGTTTCTGCTTCTTTTCTTTTTTTATGTGAAACAATATTTACTTTTATTAAAGTAAACACCCACTACACACTTACAGTACCAAATAATGTGCTGTGGACTGTTTTCCAATCTTTCACTTATGTATAAGAGAATGTTAAAATCATGTTGGTTGTATATTAACTAGAGCAAAGTTTTGCTATTTTCTAGCTCATTTAACATATATTTAAAACATAGCATGTAGTTTTCACTTTTTCTTTTCAATTCCTAATGCACAGTGTTTTTAAGTTGTTCTCTGCATTAGACTTTACTTATTTTTTATGTCAAGAACAGTGGGAAGTACTGTAGGAAAATACCAAATTCGTGATGTGAAGATTGAAAATATTAATAATAATATTAAAACTAAAACATCATTAATCTCATACAGCCCTAGGTCACAATATTCAGAGCAGTAACAATGAACATAAAAATTAAATGAAAGAAGAGAAAATTACTTTATTTTTCAGGAGCAGAGAAGGGCTGCCACCTAGGAAGATGAGATTGAAGCTGGCTTCTGCTAGAACAGTTCCAATTAACTATCCCCATTTAAATACATCCAGAAAACTCTTAAGAACATTGCACTATAAATAAGATGTTTAAATTAGAGCTCATGAAAAGTGAGAAGATAATGGTAGCTAGGAGTAAATTTAATCACAGCCTCTATGCCTCCCCTACATCTCCTTCAGTATTGTGTATGTCAAGGCATGAAGAGGAAAAAAAAAAGAACAGAACTGTAGTCAAGATTACAATTTAGATTAAAAAAATAGCTCCTATAAATGTTAATTTAAACCAAGATAAGGCACAGTATTTACATGAAGCCACAGTTATAAACTGTATTTCTTGTACTATTACTCTTATCTAAGACATGGTACTTGATTTTCAGCTTTATTTGGTATCTGCTGCTTTTGAGCTGATAATAAATTTCATGTCCCTGTATCTGCCCCTGGAAGAGATGAGGATGTGCTCCATTTTGTTCTGTGGAATCCTTAGGAATTTACTAAGCAAACTTTCTAGTGTTATTCTTTGACGTGGTAAATGAGAAAGTCTGATGAACCTCGCTCTTCACGGAGTGAAGGCGGCCAGATCAAGCATAAGCATCACTGCACATCTGTTAGCATACCCACTGTTCAATTAGAATACAAATGGGTGTCTTCAGGTCTTATACTCAGAACTGTGTGATATTTTGGAGAGGCACAGAAATACATTAAGTCTTACTAGTCTTCTAGGCTAGTTTCTAATTTGGTGAATAACAATGAAGAGATAGTAGATTCAGAAATACATTGAATAACAAAGGTCATAAGGAGGTAGAATACTGAGGAAAGATAAAAGTTTCCATTTATTTTCTAAATGCATTTCTGTGCCCATTTTGATTGAAAGTAATGGCCTAGCGTATAGTGTTAAGTATCTGATATCTCAGCTTGAAGAGTTACCTCACTGAATAGCAACACGGGCAGTGAATAGGGAGAGGTGGTGGTGGGTATGGAAGCCTGGGTTGGAGATGGCATTTTATTTGGGTCTTGAAGGATGTGTTGGTTTTGGATGGGAAAGAAGAGGATTCAGAGTGAAAACAGTAGCCATGGTGAAAAGCAAATTTTCAGGTGTGTGGCACAGGAAGGGGACCAGTCTGAGCAGAGCAGATAATGAGCTAGTGAGTTAGGGGAATGGCTGTAAAGAGAAATGAGATCACAGGGTACTTAAAACCCAGGAGAGAGAGTTTATATTTAATACGGCAGGAATTAAAGAGTCCATGAATACTCCACGAACAGGGAAAGACGCAACCAAAATGTGGCTGAGGGAAGGTGTGGTTGAGGGAAAGTGTGTTTTGCGGTACCCTGGAGAAAAGAGAGATGAATACAGTAGATATGAGGTAGTGAGGATCAGTTTGGATCAATAACCAGTGTCAGGAGGATGGTCTGAGAGATATCTTGAGGGAAACAGAAGAGGCAGGTGACTTTCTGTAAAGAATGGAGCAGCTGACTTAACAGCTATCGAAGTAGTGTACAAAAACCTACACGTAATGGGGAAGCCAGGTGTAAAAGTAATATAAATCATCAATTTAAGAAAATACTCCCTATTTAAGAATGCATATGCAAAGAGAAAAAATAAACCAATAAAGGTATCTCTGGATGTGTTCGTACAACTGCTTCCAATTATGGACCTTGAACAACCTCGCCATCACCTGGAAGGTTGTGAGAAATGCAGACTTTCCTGGCCCTCCTCCAAATCCATACACCACAAACTCTGGAGGTGAAGCCTAGAAATCTGTTCTAACAAGCCTCCAGGTGATTCTGATAGACACTAACATTTGAGAACCATTGCTGCAGTACAGTGCTGCTAAAACTTTAGTGTGCATCATTACTTGGAGATCTTGCCAAGGGCAGACTCCCGGGCCCTGCTACAAAGACTCCGATTCAGCAGGTGTATGGTGTGCTACGGATGTGCCTGCCTTCCAAGCCCCCAGGTGATGCTAACGCTGCTGGTCTGGGCTCCCTGGCTAAAGAGGCCTTGACAGCCTCCGTGGTAGCCACTGATTTGCTGAATGACTTCCTTATTCCGTCAATAAGTGTACTTGTCATCTCATTTGCCAGAAAGGCTTATATGTTAAATTTTGTCCATTTGCTGGGGATAATGAGAAGTGCCAAAAAAAATTGACTGTGCTCTTTAACTCATGCAGGCTCATATATTGTCTCATAATCCTTTAAAAATGGGTGCCTTGGGTGTAATTGAAGAAAATAACTTATATAAATTAGGAAGCATCAGTTGAGATGACATGGGAGCATTTATAATACTCATGATATCTGACTTTTCTCTCCCAGCTGTCTGATAGAGGAGAGAGCCAGCCTGAAGGGGTAGGTGAGAAAACTTTGAAAAGAATTAACAAGTGGAGAGATATAAAGCTATGCTAGATGTCTTCCTGCTTGTGGTCTGCAGATACATAACAAGGAATGTGGACATTAATATGTATTGAGCCAAGTGAGCATGATTTTACTCTTAATTCATTTACTCTTTTAACAGCCATGTGAGCAAAGTGGAGACATCCTAATTTAATGGGTTAGAAATCAGCCTTAGAAAACATTTGAGACTTGCTCAAGTTCTGGAAGCCAGTAAAAGAACAGCGTGAGGATTCCAGTAATCTCTGTGAGACTCAAAGCTCCTGCTCTTTCCACCATACTACTTTACCCAACAAATGAGGGCCCTTGCATAAAGACCTGAACTCCTCTTAATCTGTTCTGCTCCTATGAATATTACTATTTCCCTTATACTTAAAATGGTTACCCAAGGATTATGATTAGTTTCTTCCTGCTGGAGCTCCTTCTACTAATTCTCACTGGAGAGAGAAGCACAGTGAAGATACCAAGTTTGAAATGGGAAGGGTGAAAAATTAAAGCTCACCCAAGACCCAGTTTCCTCAACTGTGCAATACAAGTAATATCTCACAGGTTATAACTGGGCATAGGAAAAAGGTAGTAGAGAATGGGTACTCTTATGTTTATCTACTGTGGTAATTAATAGGCCACTTAGTTGAAAGAACTGTACAGACCATACATCAAAATGTAAGCATAATAAATATTATCATATAGAATTCTGGGGCAAGGCCAAGCACAGTGGAAACACTGTCTTTACTAAAAATATAAAAGTTAGCTGGGCATGGTGTTGGGTGCCTGTGATCCCAGCTACTGGGGAGACTGAGGCAGGAGAATCGCTTGAATTGTGGTGAGCCGAAATCGTGCCACTGCACTCCAGACTGGGTGACAGAGCAAGACTCCATTTCAGAAAAAAAAGAAAAAGAATTTGGTGAGTGTAGTGGGCTGAACGATGATCCTTCAAAAGATGTGTCTCCCTCCTAATCTCTGGAAACTATAAATGGGACCTTATTTGGAACAAGGGTCTTTGCAGATGTAACTAAGGTTCTTGAAAAATGAGATCATCCTGGATTATCTGGGTGAATCTTAAATTCAGTTGGAAGGTCCTTGTATGAGACATATGGAAGAGAAGACAAACACAGAAGAGACAGTGACATGAAAACAGAGGTGGAGATTGGAGTGATGTGGCCACAAGCCAAGGATTTCCAAAGCCACAAGAAGCTGGAAGAGACAAGGAAGGATTCTCACCTAGAGCCTCCAGAGAGAGTGCAGATTTGCCAAGCTATGATTTTGAACTTCTGGCCTCCAGAACTATGAGGCAATACATATCTCTTAAGCCACCCACTTTCTGCTGATTTGTTAGAGCAGCCACAGGAAACTAACACAATGAGTGAAAGGAACTGAGAGCATTTCATTTCCCTCCCAAAGGGAAGCTGGCACCCGGACAAATCTCCAAAGTAGATGGTAACATGGATGAGATTTCTTTTCAACTCTCTCCAGGCCCAGTTTTTTTTTCTACTTTTTCTCTATTCCTGATTTCTGTTCACTCTCTCTTCTTCCATCAAAATCACTCTGCCATAGTCCACTACTTCAAGTAGAAGAAAAGCTTTAAACAGGTCAGCAATAATGTATGCCAGGCCTGCAGCTCTGTCTGAGGTTGGTTCCTTAGAAGCAGAGCCTGAGATGGGTATTTTTTCTCAAGTGATTTATTGAGAGAATGACCTCAGGGAAAGAAGCTGGGGAACTAGGATAAGGCAGGTGAAGAAGCTAAGCAAAAGATGGTCGGTTCCTGTGAAGTTTAACCTCGGCCTGATCCCACCAGAATGAATGGCCTTAGAGATTTTATTTAATAGATTTTATTTTTGTAAGAGAAGTTTTAGATTCACAGCAAAATCGAGCAAAAAGTATAGAAAGTCTCATGTACACCCCTGTATACACATGCACAAACTACCCAACTGTCAACATCCTACACCAAAATGGTACTTTTGTTACAATGAATCTACACGAACACATCATTGCCACCTAGTCTGTAGTTTACATTAGTGTTCACATTGGCACGTATCTACCATATTTTCTCTGCTCTAAAATTCCTTTGAGCTCTATTTATTTCTCTCTTTCCCCAAGCCCTGACAACCACTGATCTTTTTACTGTTTCCATCATTTTATCTTTGCCAGAATGTCATACGGTTAGAATAACACAGTGTGTAGCCTTTTCAGATTGGCTTTTTCAGTTAGCGATATGCATTTATGTTTCCTCCATATCTTTTCATGGCTTGGTAACTCATTTCTTCTTAGCACTGAATAATATTCCATGTCTGGATGTACCATAGTTTATTTACCCCTTCACCTACTGGATGGCATTTTGGTTGCTTGCAAGTTTTGGCAATTATGAATAAACCTGCTATAAACATCTATGTGCAGGTTTTGGTGTGCACGTAAGTTTTCAGCTCATTTGGACAAATACCATAGAGCATGATTGCTGGATCGTATGGCAAGACTATGTTTAGTTTTGTAAGAAACTGCCAAATTGTCTTCCAACATGGCTGTGCCATTTTGCGTTTCCTTCAGCAAGGAATGAGAGTTCCTGTTGCTCTACATCCTCACCAGCATACGATGTTAGCACTTTGGATTTTAGCCATTCTAATAGGTATGTAGTGGTATATCTCATTGTTGTTTTAATTTACAACCTGTACTGGCACATGATGTTGAACATTTTATATTCTTATTTGCCCTCTGTAGATACTCTTTGGTGAGATGTATGTTCAGGTCTTTTGCCCATTTTTTTTCACTGAGTTGTTCATTTTTTAAATTGTTGAATTTTAAGAGTTGGTTGTATATTTGGGATAATAGTCCTTTACCAGATATGTCATTTACAATTATTTTTCTCCCCATCTGTGACTTGTCTTCTTGTTTTTGTGAAATACTAGATTTTCAAACTCAGAATTAAGGTCCCTGTGCTGTTAATCATTCTGAAGAAATTCACTTCTGATAGCTAAGGGCAGTTCTCTGGAGAAGGGTGCAGGTGTGTATCTGGCAGCTGATGTCAAAAACATGTCAGAGTTAGATGTTCTGGCCTCCAAGAAGAGATCTGGGTGAAGCCCTAGAAGCCCTTTCTGAAGGAAGTAGTTCCAAGATGTCTCTATGGAAGCCAAGGCCAGTTTTATATCTGTGTTCCCCTTCTCACTCCCTGTGGTTTATACAGACTTGATTCAATGGCCAGCAGCCCTTTGGCTGAGTGATGGCTATCTGAGCAGGCCAAGTGGTCACAACCTGGGATGATCAGATTCTGTCTCATAAATAAGCATGTCGGCCAAGAGACATAGCTGGAACAATCAACTGGTAACTAGAGTAGAAGTCACCTTCAGAGCATCAGGTCTCAGACAGCACCTGCCTCACATAAATGAAGAACCACCCAGGTGATCTGATGCCAAATAGCCTTTTTCTTCTGGTCCCCATGAGGGTCAGTTATTTTGTAAACTGGATTGATAGAAACTGCTACAAGTTTTATGTTATTTATTTCCACGTTTTTTAAAATAATCAGTTTTGATTACTTGGGTTCACCTGGATGGATCTCTGCATCTTACATCTAAAGGGAATGACTGTATAACATGATAAATGATTTGCCAAAGAGCATTTAGACATTGTGTGAATGGACAATGTCTAAATTGCTCATGTTGACTTTCAGGGGCCTTTGAGTGACATGCTTAGACCTTAGAGAAGAATTCTGGGCCAAAGATTAAATGTAGTGATGAATTTGTGTGTAGGTATTATCTGAAACCACAGACAACAGCAAGGACTGCATCTTTAGAAATGCTGATGGTTAACTGTTTCCAAGTGAGGATGATCATGCAAATGAGATAGGAATGGAAATAGAAGAGAATTAGGAGGAAGCCTATATATCAGTCATGAAATTAAAAAGGGATCAGGTGTCAAAAAAAGGGAGTGTTTGAATCCAGTGCTGATGAAAAGTCAAATAAGATAAGCCCTGAAATATATTCACTGGATTTAGAGACATGGAAGTTGATTGAGTGTTGGGGAGAGAAGACAGATCGAATTAGATTGAGGAGTAGGGCGATCAGATATAAATAAACAGAGAACATTCTTTTGAAAAGTTTTATTATAAAAGCACTTTGAGTATCACTTAAATTAATAACAAATAATTCTTACCACCTGCCAAATACCAGGTCTTAATTAAGCATCGTGGAGGACTTAAAGGGTATGTATTATATATATTTGTCCTTAAGGAAAATACAGTTTAATTTCTAATACAAGACATTTTCCTGATGAGGATATAGAAAAAAATCTGTGAAGAGATAAATATAATATTTACCGAGATTTTACAACATTTCAAACATAGCATTTTATTTCATGCACATAGCCCTGTGAATTAGATAAATAAAATCTTTGTACTATAAAGGAGGTATATGTTTTATGTCAATAATTTTAGATAATCTAGGTAAGGAAATTTTAAACACTAACAGCTAACACACAGAAACATTTTGGATATATTTTCTCATAATAATGTTTTGTGTAAATTATTAATATGACATTTTACCAGCTGAACAGATAAGAAAACCAAGAATCAGATAATTTAAGTATTTTCAGAGTGTCACTCAGCTTTAAGTTGAAAAATCAGAATTTGAACATTAGTCTGTTTGATTTAAAAATTTATGTTCTTCCTTCTCCTATCATACTACCTGATAAATAAATATAAGAATACCTGCTAGACAAATTGTATGAATTAGACATCCCTAAGAGGAAGGAGAATTTTGGATGGGGAGTGTCAGCTATATTTCACATAGCATCTGAGGTTTGAGCTAGATCTTAAAAGACAAATAGGATTTAGATAAGGAAACAGCAAATTATGGACCTTGGGCCAAATCCCGCCCACTACCTATTTCTGTATGGTGTTCTGTAAGAGTGTTGTTTTTCATTCTTAAATGTAAACTGTAAAAAAGGTTATTAATCATTCAGCAATATCAGTTGCTCCATTTTGCCTCTTGGTCCACAAAGTTTAAACCATTTATTATTTGATCTTGTATGTAAAAAGCTTGCTGACCTGGATTTAGAGAAATACATGAGGGGTGGGGCCTCAACTTAGAACAATGCCATCAGCCTGTTTCTAAAGGAAGACAATACAGGGAATATTCTGGGGAAAGGAAGTGAACCAGTCTAGGAAGACCTGAGAAGATCTATGCACTGTGGTCAAGCTCTAGACTGTCTTTGTTACTAGGCAAAGAAGAATGGTCAATATTTTGCTACCTAAACATTTGCACAATTATTCCATCAACTAGATTTTGAGGGTCTCCTGAGCAATAATCATTTTTTTTTCCCACCTGTGTTTCCCTGTAGAGTCTCACACATGGCTGGTCACAGACTATTGGCTCAATCAATGTTAGCTGATAAACAGCCTCACATCATGTAGACAAGCTAGTTAATCATTACCAATGTCCTTCCCTCTTTAATGTCATACACTGAGTCACAGCCTTCCCTCAAATACATCACTCTCAGGGACAACAAAATGTGTCCTTCAGTTGTAATAAACGGTGGGAGAGTGCAGGAGAGAAATATGTCCCAGCAATTTCTGGTGCCGGATGCACACCTAATTGCAATATTGACAAGAGAAAAGACGGGCTAATTTGAGAGAGCCAGTGTGATCTTCCAGCTGGATTATGCCATTTTAAACAAGACAGCCTTGCCCACGTTGGAAATAAGGATGTTCAGTTTGCAGTAAATTCTGTTTGGAGCCCAAAGTTGAGCCCAGGGACCCCAGCAGCATAATCAAGGCCGTGATTGATGAGGTGTCAGCGACTGTTAGACACAGCGTGTGACGCATCCAGTCACAGGGGACCTGAGTGTTTGTCATAATGTCAAAGCACCTGCTGCTGCTGCTGCTACCTGGGGTGCACGAGTGTGTCGGGGAAAGCGAGGTGCCTGAAGTGGCCGTCCCTCCCCCAGCACCCCGCAAGTGCTCCAGAGGAAGGCCGCGGGGGCATCTGCAGTCAGGAAAGACAAAATGGAGCCACGCAGGGGAAAGCAGCATGGGGTGGGGGAAGATGGCACGTTCCCGGCGCAGGGAGAAGAAGAACAGGTGCTTCTCCGAGGAAGACTGCCGCTACTCCCCGGGCCCTGGCAGCCTGCCCCGCCACAGAGCCGCGCGCTTGCCGGCCTCCTGGCAGCGGAGCCTGCGGCGGAACCACCGCAGTGAAGCATTCTGTCCCCTCGCAGCTGCTCTCCCCAAAACTGCAGGTCCTCCAGGAGACCGAGACAAACCTACAAGCAGACTTGTCTTCCAGGAGAGGAGAAAGTGTTTCCCCACGCGAAATGATGTTTAAGATCCCCGCCCGAACCCCTAATCCTGCATTTAAGCATCCACTGGACGGCTAACGGGATTGTTCTTAAGCTTGGCATTTGCAAGGCATAGATTTTTCTGTGTTCTCTCCCCTGCCAAGTTTGCCTCCTCTGAGACTCTCTGGGGGAGTATTTGCAGCTCTGCAGTTCAGTTTGAGGAAAGAAAAGAAAAGTCCCCAAAGCAATCATGTAGTCTTTAAAATACTGTTATGTAAATCAAGGTAGAGTGTCTCTAAATTCATTAGGGTTACTTGCCCTGGAGGGCCCTAGCAAAATTGGCAGACACATTTTCACTATCTAGTCTGTGGTTGTTGACCTTTTCTTCTGTCTTGCTTACACTTTCCTAGGGAGGAGGCAAGAACTCCAGAGGGGCTTATCCGAGTGGCAGAAGGAGAGCCCCCACTGAAAATGCCTGTTACACACCTTCTGGGAACCGCCCTCCTCTTTCACCTCCTCCCAGCCCCAGCTGGAATTCCCAAATGTAGCCTAAACCAGTACCAGGCCAGCGAATAAAGGAAATGGAAGCTGCCAAAACAGCGAGTCTTGGTCAGAATTTCAGAGTCATTTCTCAGGTCTGGGTTAGAGGATCTAAATACAGGGGAAGTCAAGCCAGATTGTTGCCATCCTAGCTACTTTTTGGAATTGGGAAGCATGTAAAGATTGACTCCTTTTCCTAGCATCCTTCGAAGAGCAGGAAAAGTGGGGCAGTAAGTATTCAGAAGCATCTGTTTCCTGCCTGTGCCCCTCTGAGTACCAGAGGGGGCCAGCAGAACAACCTGCATGGTCCATAAACACGCAGGGAGGGCTGTGACTTAGGAAGCCACACTGGCAGCTGAGCCTCCCCAGGATGAAGATGGGCATTCACTGAAAAGCCGTTTTTGTGTTTCTTCCAGTACTGTTATTTTTTTTTTAAGGTATAACTTAATAAAATGTAGATTTTTTTTCCAAATGCCTGCTTTATCATTACCGATGTGTGGATTTTGACAGATAAGTACACCCATGGAACCCACCACCCATCAAGAAACAGAACTTAGGTTTCTTGTAAACAGAACTTACAGGCACGGTGGCTCACACCTGTAATCTCAGCACTTTGGGAGTCCGAGGCAGGAGTATCACCTGAGGTCAGGGATTTGAGACCAGCCTAGCCAACATATAGTGAAACCCTGTTTCTACTAAAAAAAAAAAAAAAAAATTAGCTGGGTGGTGGTGCACGCCTGTAGTCCCAGCTACTTGGGAAGTTGAGGCAGGAGAATCACTTGAACATGGCAGGTGGAGATTGCAATGAGCCATGATTGAGCCACTGCACTCCAGCTTGGGCAACAGAGCAAGACTGTCTCTCAAAAAAACAAAGCAAAACAAAACAAAACAAACTAACAGATCTTGTCCATCACTGCAACAAATTCCCTAATGCTGTTTGCTTCAATCTTCCACTCATCAAAGGAAACCTCTGATGTATCTGGTTTCTGTCATTACAGAGCAGTTTGCTCTTTCTAATGTCGTATTAATGAAACTACACAGTATGTAGTTGTTTTCTGGCTTTGTTTGCTCAGAATGCAGTTTTTAAAGATCACCCATGTAGGAACATATATCAGAGCACCTATATGTAGTTTGTTTCATTTTAGTGATGATTAACATTTCACGATATGGTCATACCACCATTTGTTTATGCATTCATCTGTTGATAGGCATTTGGGTTGTTTATTGGTTTGTGGCTGTTATGAATAAAGTTGCAATTAATATTCTTCTAGATTTATCTGGATGGATATATCTTTTCAATCCTTTCACTCCTAGGATAAATACCCAGGAGTGAAATCGAGGGGTCATAGGATAAGCGAATGAATTTGGAACTGCCAAACAATTTAGCAAAGTGTTTGCCCTGTTTATCATTCCCTCACAGCAGTATTTGAGAGTTCCAGCTGCTCCACATCTTGTCCAATTACAGTATTGGTATTGCTAGTCTTGTTTGCTTTAGCCATTGTAGTAGGTTAGAAGTAGTATCTCATTTCAGCCAAACTTTTTCAAAGCAGTCATTTTCCTGGGGACCTATTGCTAAATTCTAGCAGAGATTTAGCTGGGCCACGAAGGGAAGAATTACAATAGGAAGAAGGTTTATATTTAGAGTCAGTATGTATATTTCAATTTTTAAAAGAAAATCTTTAAGCAGCAGTTTGAGTTTAATATTTCTCCCCAGAAGTCTAGTTTCTTTAACAGCTGTTTATAAATATTTACCTTTATATTTTTAATGACAACAGTGTACATAGCACAAATACCAGGTGCATTAACATATAAATATTCAACACACAGGTTTCCAGTTGTTTCTATGTAGGACACAGAGGCCTGTCTTTAGTACAGGTCTATGGAAGGCTTTCTGGTAATAAAGGTGGATAAGAACTGATGCCCTGGAGAATAAACTTCCCTGGTTTGGGTCTTTTATTTGCTAGGGGTGTGATTTAAGGCCTCAGTAATGTACCATAATAGCTGATATAGTTTGGCTGTGTCCCCACCCAAATCTCATCTTGAATTGTAATCCCTATAATTCCCATGTGTCATAGGCAGCTGCTGTGTGGCATGATTCCAAGCTTCTAAGAAAACTTTCAGGAGAAATATATCTAGAAGATGCAACCTGTAGGGATTTGTGTAGCCTTTGGCATTTCATGCACACTTGTGTGAAGTTTCCGAAATTAATTGTGTACAAAATTCAGAGGAATGTTTTTCTTTTCTTTCTTTCTTTTCTTTTCTTTCTTTTTTTTTTTTTTTTTTACCTATAGCTTGCAGCAGATTCTCCAAGGAGACTGGGATCTCAGGGTCTTTTTGGATCCACTGCAAATGAAGGTAGGACCACTGAGGGTATGGAACAGTTTTGGGAAAAGAGAATACTAGGATTGAGCTTCATTTCTGCAGCTTATGAACTGACTGTCTCTGACCAAGTTACTCAATTGCTCTAAGTCTCAGTTTCCATGCCTTTAAAGTTGACATCATAGTATTTTGTATCTCACAGGGTTACTGAGAAGAATAAGAATATGACATGGGCCAGGCACCGTGGCTTATGCCTGTAATCCCAGGACTTTGGAAGGCTGAGGTGGGCAGATTGCCTGAGGTCAGGAGTTCGAGGCCAGCCTGGCTAACATGGTGAAACCCCATTTCTACTAAAAATACAAAAAGTTAGCCAGGCATGGTGGCACACTTCTGTAGTCCAGCTACTCGGGAGCTGAGACAGGAGAACTGGGAGATGGAGGTTGCTGTGAGCCGAGATCACGCCACTGCATTCCAGCCTGGGTGACAAAGCAAGACTCCATCTCAAAAAAAAAAAAAAAAAAAAGACATTATTGACATCCAGGAACTGGAACCTAGTAAGTGCCAAACAAATGTTAGTTCCCTCCTGCTTCACTGATCCAGATTATAGAAAGCAGGATTAGCCTCTGTTGAATTGCAAATGACTTCAGGAAAGATGATAAATTAATCAGCCATTCTCACCTTAGTATGAATGTACCAAATCTTTTCTTTAAAACAGAATTCTTGCATAAAATATTAACAGGCCAAAGAAGAGAAAATATACAAAAGCAAAATTATTTCTATTTAATTAGAAGATTTCCTTAAACAATAATATTAAATTAATGGATACATTTCAAGACCTTTCTTTTGTATTTCTGTGTCTCTCTGCATCTCTAAAATCTCTTTTCATAACTATAGCAGCCCAAATATATATATTTATAGATATCCGAGTCCTCTTCTCTTTTAACTCAAGAGTCAACAAACTATGGCCCACTGTCTAAATCCAACCTATGGCCCATTATTGTAAATAAAGTTTTATTGGAATGCAAACAGCCCCATTTGTTTACATATTGTCTATACCTGCTTTTGCACCAAAGCACAGGGTTGAGTAGCATGACAGAGACCACACAATTAGCAAAGCCTAAAGTTCTTACTATGTGGCCTTTTACAGAAAATGACTCCTGATTTAAACTCTCACCTAGTGCCCCCTTGACACTTTGGGGCTATGTGGAAAGCAAGAGGAGTCTGATGGCATAGACACATGGCAGGAAGGTTGGGAAGAGGCTACGATTCCCAATGCAAATAAATCTCAGTTCAGGGACAATCATTTCATTATGACTTACCAATTGATCACCCTTCTGTTTATTTAGGACTTTAAGATCTTACCAAATTTTCTGTCCTTTATAAAATCAAAAAGAAGCCAGACTAGTGGGATCAAAAGAAACTCTATAAGACAGTGGGTTTTAGAGAATTTTTTTCTAATCTTTTATCTTTTATATTTATATTTTATATACGTTTTCGAAAAGAGTTTGAGAACTATAAATCAGGAACTGAATATTAAGAAAGATAAACATGCCTACATAAACTATGTGAAAAGAACAGAATGGAAGAATTTAGAGAGTAAAAACCTGAAGGAATTAAACAGAGTAATTTGAGGTGAACACATCTATCAAGGGACTGCGATACAGTGATAATTAAATCATCAGCAAAAAATAAATAAATAAATGAAGTATTTTGTGATGGAAATAAAGTATTAGGGGAGGGAGAAAATTAGCATAAATTTAAAAAAATATTACGGCCAAGAAATTTTTAGGTCTTCCATTCAAAAGAATATTTCTTTTTTATTTTTTCTCCAACATAGAGACATTTTGATTCAAATTTTTTGAAGCCATTGTTTTCAGAACAACTGCCCAGATAAAAAGCAATCATCCTTCTCATGGATGAGTGTGGAAAAAGAAAGAATTTAGGAAAAATAAGCACAGTAAGGAAGGAAAGAGTTGTAGAGGGAATTGAGTTTTGCACAGGCAAATCTGCCAATTACAGCACAGCTGGCTTAGGACAAAGGACAATAGATGGAGAGATGATGGAATCCAAAGAAAACCTTCTAAAACCACATTTATGAGAACAAAGCTTACTAAGGGGATGGACTAATGTCAGAAGTTCCAAGACTTCAAAAAAGACTTTCCTTAAGGTTTTCTTCATAAACTCTGAAATTATCTCTGATCAGTGGCTGAGAATTCTCTATCTCTTTATTTCCTTACTCTGGGGTGGATGGGTAGAGGATGCGGCTTGAAGTTTTCGTTCTCTTCCCTTCATGAGACAGGAGTGGTAGCAGATGACGAGGTAACTTAGCTAAGGCAAAGCCAGGTTTGTTTTTCTGATTTAGGTTCTATGAGTAGAACTGACTGCATATGGAGAGAGAGAGAAAGGAACAGATTCAATATAAAAATGCAAAGACCCTTGAGATAGAGCTTCCTTGGTTTAGGTTTCTTTGATCCTGGAGCTGGAGGTGAGGATTCTTGGGCAGGTGATTTATTGAGGTGAGGGTGAGAGTGGGGTTCCTTTGGGGAAATATGGGCATGGAATGTGAATTCTGTAGGGTAAGGTAGGAAAATGGGTTAAGTAAAGATGTGAGCCTAACTTCACACCTGATCTCTGGAGATCTCTGGAGTATGAATTGTACCACAGAATAATTCCCAACTTGAGGTGAAGGATAGCCAATTTGTACCTAACGTCAGGGGCTGAAATAATGAACTGCAGACCATTCCCAGGGAATAGGAATCCCAGGGATGAATACTTACCTCCCTCCCTCCCTCCCTACATGCCCACAAGGGAAATGACTTTAGTTGTCCAAGGTCAAGTAAAGTAGGGGACAACTCTGAGTCAGTAGCAATCAATATGGCAGCTGGGGGATGGTAAAATGGCTCATTAAAAAGGTTCTGGGTGGGGCACCAATTCCTAATACCACAAATGCTAAGATTTGATCATTTAGAAGTAATGACTAGGTCACCCAGAAGGGGTCACTAGGATTGGGATGAGGGTGGACAATGTCTTATAAGCAGTTGACTTCTGGCATGGAATGGAATCAAAGGAAGCTCTATTCCATCCAAACCTATTGTCTCCCTTTCTCACCTATCTATGTACATGGAATATTTCCCTTTCTCATCTATGTACATGGAACACTGGAATTAGGTCATTTATTTGGAGTACATTTTTTTTCAGGTAACATAATTAAATATGCAATGAAAAGCAGTAGAGAGTATTACTAACATTACTATTTAGATAGAGTACCTAGAAACATTCTGTCTCTATAGATGCAAATGTATGTTTTTCTTTTTCCAAAAGAACAAAAACATGTTTTCATGTTTCCTTTAGTTGGGAGAAAGGTTAATTCCATTTTTATTTGTTTCTGTTCCTTTACTAAGTTTATTCTATTTTATATTTGCAAAGTAATATGAAGAAAAATTCTATTTCAAATAAAAACTAATTGCAATCACATTCACATACTTCATTGATACTGAAGTGAATGCTTTTCCACACTTTACTATTGCCAAAATCAGGACGGATGTTGCCCTCTACTATCCCTTTGGGTCAGGTGAAGGTCAGAACCTAGTAGCGTTACCTACATTTATGAAAACTTGGTTACCACTTCATTTGTTTTATGTGCAATGCTGTTACTATCCGGGTTCTGTTTAATTGCCATCAATAATTTGCCCTTAAAATATCTTGAAGGTAGAAATGTGGAAGGATGTTGGGGTATTAATTTGATATTAATGAAGTATATGTTTGATGTTGGAGGAATGAATGCAATCCCACATTTTCGTGCAAAGCTACACCAGTGCTTTATGTTAATAAGAAAGGAAACTACTCACAGGTAAAGCAGTTAGGTTTAGTCACTAAGGAACAAATAAAAACATTATCTATCCTGTGCCGACCAGTGCAACTGAACTCAGGAGAAACAGTCACATCCTCTG